TATTGGAGACAGCATAAAGACTCAGTTTGGAACAGCTGCAGTCCTCAGCAGCATGCCTGCTTCCCTCAGCTGGATGCTGGTTACAGCTCCACATCAGTGTACACCCTGGGAGGCAGAAACTGAGGGCATCTCAAGCACTCTGACCTCTGCCACCTGCATTGGAGCACCGCCTGGAGCTCCTGGCTCCTGCCTTGCTCTGATCCAGGGCTGGCCGTCTGCACGCATTTGGGAAGTAACTCAGCTGATGGATGATCACTCTTTCTCTGCTCTCAATATAAATTAAAAGCTTAAAAAAATAAAGAACTCTGAAGTCTTAACAGTTTATAAGACAGGCACAAGGCACAAAAATATGATCAATATCATCAATCATTAGAAAAATGCAAAATGAATTTACAATGTGACCTTATTACAACCCTAAATAGCTAAAATAAAACTCAAGTAACATGGGGCTCAATATTGTGGGATGATGGGGTAAGCCACCACCTACAATAACAGCATCCCCTTTAGGTGAGAGTTCAAATCCCCACTGCTCCACTTCCATTCCAGATCCCTGATAATGTGCCTGGGAAATCACCAAAGGTAGCTCAAGTATTGGGCTCCTGTACCCTCATGGGGGACCTGGAAAAAGCTCTAGGATCCTGGTTTTAGACCAGCCTTGGCTGTTGTAGCCACCTGCAAAGTGAGACACTGAATGAAGTTCTGTCTGTCTCCCTATCTTTCCCTCTATAACTCTTTAAAATTTTTTTTTCAAAATGTCACTACTAAAATGCTGGTGCAGAGCAGAAAAGATTGCTTACACTCATACACTGCTGGCGGCACACCAAATTCTGGAAAATAGGCAGTTTCTTAGAAATAACAAAACATACAATTACCATATGATCCAGCAATTGCATTCCTGGGCATTTATCCCAGAGAATTGGAAACTGCTGTTTACTCAAAGCCTATTCACAAATATTTATAAGAAATGTTTCCTGGGATGGACAGAAACAAGGACATCTGGAAAGTCTCTAACTGCAGTGTGAGAGAACAGGTATGTGCTGGCAGAGGTCGGGGTGCAGTTGTGGAGCTTGGGAGTAATAAGGTGCATCCACCATTCCTGTCTTCCTGGGTCATCTTGTGCATTAAGCATGCCGCCGTTTAGTCACATACGTAGATGTATATCTGTCCCTAGAGATAAGATACAAAGGAATCCATCACCGGAGGCTCCCTCTTGTCCTTCAGTAAACACAGGCCTTGCTGCCACATGGACGCCAGCACTGCAGGCCATGACATTATCAACACGGCCCTGTCTGTACTGTTCTTAAAGCAGTCTGTGAATCCACAATTGTCTCATATTTGGCCTATCTTCTTATAAATCTATTTTGAAAATATGCATTTACTTATTTGAAAGGCAGAATAATGAGCGGGGTGGCGAGTCAGAGACAGCTGGGCCAGAAGCCAAGAGTTCCATCCTGGATCTCCCACAGGAATGGTGGGAGCTCGTGTACTCAGGCCACCTTCAGCTGTCTTCCTAGGAAATTAGCAGGACGCTGAGCTGGAAGCAGAGCAATCAAAACAAGCTGGTACTACATGCAGAATGCTGACGTCACAAGCAGCAACTTACACTACTATACCACAATGCAGTCGCATGAAAAAAATTTTTGTTAAGGGCCAGCACTGTGGTACGGCAAGTAAAGCCACTACTTGCAGCGTCAGCATCCCAAATGGGTGCCAATTTGAGTTCTGCCTGCTCTGTTTATAATCCACCTCCCTGTCAATGTGCCTGGGAAAGCTGCAGAGGATGGCCCACGTTCCTGTACCCGCGCGTGCACATGGAAGACCTGAAGAAGCTCTTGGTTCCAGGCTAATTCCGCTTACTGTGGTCATTTGGGGAGTGAACCAGTACATGGGAAACCTTCTCTGTCTTCTCCTGGCTCTGAAACTGCCTTTAAAATAAATGAATGAATCTTCCCGAGAAATAAAATGGTAGATGGGGGAGTAGATTGGAAAAATTAAGTCTAATGATCAATGGGACCATAAAGTTCATAATCTGGAATTCCCAGGGAGACATACAATGTTACCTCAAAATGTTTGTGGAAAATTAAAATCAAAAGGTAAGCTTATTTTGGAGCAACAACGTTCGGAAATCCACAAATGGGCCTTTTCTTTTCCTTAAAGATTTTTTTTAAAGATTTATTTATTCTTATTGGAAAGTCAGATATACATAGAGGAGGAGAAACAAAGAGGAAGATCTGCCTGCTGGTTCACTCCCCTAGTGACCGCAACTGCTGGAGTTGAGCTGATCCAAAGCCAGGAGCCAGGAGCTTCTTCTAGGTTTCCCATGCGAGTGCAGGGTCCCAAGGCTTTGGGCCGTCCTCGACTGCTTTCCCAGGCCACAAGCAGGGAGCTGGATGGGAAGTAGGACAGCTGGGATTAGAACCAACGCCCATATGGGATCCCGGTGCGTTCAAGGTAAGGACTTTAACCATTATGCAATTGCATTGGGCCCTTCTTAAAGATTCAAAAAAAAATTTATTCGAGAGGCAGCAACACAGAGTTCCTATTCACTGTTCAATGCCCAGATGTCTGCAACGGCCAGGGTGGAAGCCAGAGCTGGGAGCTCAGTGCAGGTCTCCACATGGGTAGAAGGAAGTTAACCACCCAGGCCCTCACCGCTGCCTCTCGGGCCTGAATTAGCCGCAAGCTGAAGCACAGTCACAAATCCTACCTGGGACCTGAGTGCGGGACATGGACATGAGCACCTCAACTGGTGGCTTTGCCACTAGCTCAATACCTGACCTCAAGTCACTTTTTCAAAGGGAATTGGGAACACAGCTGAAATGACATCGTCCAGTGGGTAATTGCAGAGGCACCTACAAGGTCAGGGATTCTAGGAGAAAAGCATAGATCCTCTCAGATTAGTCAGCAGCGCTCCTTCCTGCTAGGAGGCACTTCCTTGGTTCAAGTCCACAGCAGAAGGGGCCCACACTGTGGCCCAGTGAGTAAAACTCCACCCTCATCACCACAGGCATCCCTCACGAGCACAGGGTGAAGATGCAGCAGCTCTACCTCTGCTCCAACTCCCTACTGATGCGATGTGTCCAAGGAAGCAGCAGAAGATGGCCCAGGGCTTGGGCCCCGGACACCAACACACGAGACCCAGATGAAGTTCGTGGCTCCTGGCTTTGCCTTGGCCCGACCCTGGTCATTTTTTTTTTAGATTTATTTATTTTTAAAGATTTATTTTATTTTACTTTTTATTGCAAAGTCAGATATACAGAGAGGAGAAGAGATAGAGAGTAAGATCTTCTGTCTGATGATTGATTCCCCAAGTGACCACAACAGCCAGTGTTGTGCCAAGCTGAAGCCAGGAGCCAGGAACTTCTTCTGGGTCTCCCACATGAGTGCAGGGTCCCAAGGCTTTGCGCCATTTTCATATGCTCTGCAAGCCACAGACAGGGAGCTGGATGGAAAGCGGGACAGCCGGGATTAGAACTTGCACCCATATGAGATCCTGGCGCGTTCAAGGCGAGGACTTTAGCCACTATGACATATCGCCAGGTCCAGGATTTATTTATTTCTATTGGAAAGTCAGATATACAGAGAGGAAGATCTTTCATCCAATGATTCACTCCCCAAGGGACCACAATGGCTGGAGCTGAGCCAATCTGAAATCAGGCACTAGGAGGTTCTTCCAGGTCTCCCATGTCGGTGCAGGGTCCCAAAGCTTTGGGCCGTCCTCGACTGTTTTCCCAGGCCACAAGCAGAGAGCTGGAAATGGGGCCGCTGAGACATGAACAGGCTTCCATATCGGATCCTGGTGCATGCAGGGTAGCACTTTAAGCTACTAGGCTACCACGTTGGGCTCCCAATCCAGATCACTGTGGCAGCCATTTGTGAAGTGAATCAGTGGATGGAAAGAAAGAGAGAGAGAGAGAGAGAGAGTAACTTCATCAACTAAAATAATAACAAAGACCCCAGGGGGATTTTGCTGGGTTGGGAAGGGTCTGGGGCTGGTGAGGCAGGTAAGCCTCTGTTGGCATGTGCTCTGCTGTGCACCCTAGCCCTGCACACTGGTTTCCTCCTCATTTGCTCACTCTCCTTGTCCCCACTTTAGTCATATCAGATTACTTCTCTTTGCTGAAACACTTTCTCCGTGTTCTCAACATGTGCCACAACACACAGACGTGCCACAATGGACAGGAACTGTGAGCAGGGAGAGGTATCTGTAGAACCACAGATTCCTAAAACAGTTAAGCTTCAAGAGAAATATATGTCAGACTCCAGCAGTCACACGTTCCACAGGGAAAGGGAGGCGCAGAAAGATGTCGTTTGTGTCATCCTCGGTGGGCGCTCTTGGTGAAGCTGGACTAGGTCTGGACGACTCACCCGGACAGCCTCCCTCATCTCCAGCAAGCAAAGCTCATTAAACGGGACAGAGACTGAGCTGCAGCCCATGAAGAGATTAAGAGCAGAGGCATGGGTGCTGTTACCAGGGCCGGTAACCAAGCAATGTAGAGCTGAGGCTAACCCAGACAGAGGCCTCTGTGCTGGAACGGGGTAGAGGCTCCCAGGAGGACACAGCTCTTCTAACTTACTGACGGGGGATGAGAACACACGCGCCAGCCCTTCCTCTCAAGATGTACCTTTCCCGGTCCCTAGGGAGCCACTCTCCGCACAAACTGCCCAGAACTCCTGCTGAGCATGGGAACAGACAGCATGCCATACTGACACCATCTGGTCTTTCCTTTATTTTTATTTATTTATTTATTTTTGTTTTTTCCTTTAACACTGGCGCTACAGGAAAAGATTTTAAAAAAATGTGTCATGACAGGATTTCCCTATTAGTATTAAAGACTTTAGGAACACAAGCACTACGCCAAGTACTAAGGTAGGAGATTAGGGACCCTCTCAGCACCAGCCACACTGCTTCACATAGGAAGTGCCTCAGCTGAGGAAGCAGGAATGGGAGCAGAAACTGCCCGCACCCCAGGGGGCTGGCGCAAGCCCTCTCTACTTACATGGAACAGTGGAAAGTGCCCACAGGGTTTTCCCGGCGGATGTCTTCGTACTCCTCATAGATGCCCTGCTTTTGCCTGGCATTCACGTAGTCCACCAGTTCTTGGATGGTCATGGCATGCGGACCTGGAACGTGCACCGAGTCCCAGTCTAAGGCTGTAGGAAGGGAGAACAGGATGATCTCGTCGAAGGGATCTGGGTGGCCGTTCACCTGGGGCAGGAACTGGAAATTCCAAGTGGCCAGGTCAATTTTCACGTATCCACCCAGGTTTTCTGGAAGGCACTCCCTGGGGAGGTGCTGGGTGACCTCAGATGTCTTTAGGATTTGGATCTGAAAGGCCAAAAAAACCATATGAGCATGGCAGGAGAGGATGCGGGGAAGATATAACAAATAGTGACTATAACAAATAAATATACTTATATTGGCAGCTCAGGGATTGAGCTGTGGTTTGCCTGAAATACTAGTATGCTTATAAAGGCAGGAGGCTTCCTTGAGACACCTCGGCCTGAATCCTGAAATCCTGAAAGCTTGAATTCCCAGAATGTATATCAAATTCACTCCTAGATTTGGGGGTCCTTGTCATACACTTAAAAGGAAGGTGTGGCAAGCAAAGGCTTCATGCTGCCAGCATTACTTCATGTTGGACCTTTCCATCTGGATGCTAAGAATACATGGCTAGTAGTGGTAACTGTGTCAACCTCACACCAAGGCAACCAGTCACAAGCTTGTGTTGTAATCTCAACTCAGTGTAGCTGTTATCAAAGATGGTTTTCTTTCTTTATTTTTTTTTTAAAGATTTATTTATTTTTTATTACAAAGTCATATATACAGAGAGGAAGATCTTCCGTCCGACGACCCACTCCCCAAGTGACTGCAATGGCTGGTGCTGCGCTGATCCGGAGACAGGAACCAGGAACCCCTTCTGGGTCTCCCACTTGGGTGCAGGGTCCCAAGGCTTTGGGCCATCCTCAACTGCTTTCCCAGGTCACAAGCAGGGAGCTGGATGGGAAGTGGAGCTGCCGGGATTAGAACTGGCACCCATACGGGTTCCCAGTGCGTTCAAGGTAAGGACTTTGGCCGCTAGGCCACGCCGCCAGGCCCTCAAAGATGGTTTTCAATGGATGTAATACAACGTGGGCCACTGGAAGAAAGAAAGCCTAGGATACACTCTAGGGAAGTGAGCAGAATTCTTTGTTTCTCAATATATGCAGTGGTTGATTTACTTTTATATTGTAGATACAGACATATATAATTTAGCTTGCTTGAAGTTGACACACACAATGGCATCTGTTTAGGGGGCATTGTGTGCGTCATCATCACTCCTGATTCTGCTCCCTGCGTGGCCACAGCGAGGGGGAATGAAGGAGCCAGGCTGCTTTTCCTTAGCGTTACTGCAGAATGGGAATGCTAATCCTCTTAAACCTGCAGCAGGCGCCCTTCTGGGTCCTCCCCCATGCCATCCCCCTCAGGGACCAGCTCTAGCATGCCTTTTCTAGTAAAGCCCTTCCTGACTGCCTGAGAAGGCAACAAATGTCCAGGGCCTATAGAGCCCACCGCCTTCCTTCCTCACAGATAGCACAGGTACCCACCAGGACCACAGGCTCCCAAGGGAAGGACTGCCTCTCAGTACCTAGATCAGAAAAACCACTAAATACATTTTGAGTTTCTATGTCCATGGATAATTAATTTCTGTAATTTGAGTACAAGAACTTGCCTAAAGAACTTTCCAGAATGCCTAGAGAGATTTCTCCTTCTCTAAACAAAAGCCTTTATTTCCCCTCCGCAGTCCAAGTTATCTCAGCTACAAATTCACTTAACTTCATAATCTTGGCCACAAAAATCTGACAATAATATTTTAAATAGATCTTTACTTCACCCTATTATGTCAATGTTTCACATGTCCTTTCTTTCATCGGTAACTATATTACTATCTGCCACTCCTGAATCACTCAGGAGATTGTAAAGTTAAGATAATATTGGGTCACAATTTTGAAAACGGAAGCAAAAAGCTATTTGAAGGATAAAAGGGGGGAGGGCCAATGCTATGGCATAATGGACAGAACTTCCACCTATGGCACCGGCATCCCATATATTTGAGTCCCGGCTGCTCTAGCTTCGATCCAGTTCTCTGGTAATGTTCCTGGGAAAACAACGGAGGATGGCCTGGGTGCTTGGATCCTTGTACCTGCATGGCAGACCCAAAAGAAGCTGCTGCCTTCCAATCAAATCAGCTCCAGCTGTTGTGACCATTTTGGGAGCAAACCAATAGATGAAACATCTCTCTGTCCTTCCCTCTCTCTGTAACAGTGCCTTTCAAACGAATAAACGAATCTTAAAAAAAAAATGGCAGGAATAAAAGTATGATGAAACACAGGGAGTCTCCAACGCCATCAACTAGCATAAGTAAACTAAAATAGGGAAAGTAGTTAAGGCCTGTGCAGCAGGAGGCTACATTTCTGAAAGGAACAACCAGTGCCTTAATCACTTTCATGACAGTTTTTCAGCGCTTCTAAGGCTAAGTTCAGTCCCAGCTTTAAGGAGCTGACAGCAGTGGCCAGGGCAGTCTGCCCTTTAGAAGGCAGAAAACCCAAGGGCAGGCTTTCATCCACTGGACTGCGGATGTGTCTGTCCAATTCCAGGAGAAGGGGCCAGCCAGGCCCTGTCTTACCCGCTCCCGGACCTTGTCCTTCAGGAGGAGGCTGACCACGGAGTAGGGCACCCGGAACCACATGGGTGCCCCCACGATCAGCACTTTCTTCAGGCGGGCAGGAAACGCTCCCTGTGAAGAGAATGCAGGAGAACGTGAGAGGCCTAAGGGGACCCAGGACTTCAGGCCATACGTTCAGGTTCTAACCCAGTAGGGGGAGATGACAGGTACTTCAGGGAGTCATTGGGCAGAGGAGAAAAAGTCATTAGAAGAAACAAGGAAATTACAAAATAACTCACTTCATAGATGACGGCGCTCATGCTGACACTAGACATTATGGACAGAAAACTATTCTGGCTTTTCCGATCAGCAATTCTGTCAATATCACACACCAGCACATAAACGCGAATGCTTAGGAAACTTATGCTTATTAAAACTTAAAGGAAAAATGAAAGTACTAACAAATGAAACTTGGAGAACATTTCTCTTTCACACTCTTTCACTGAGTTTGATCTCTGCGTAGGCGTCATCTCCTTATTTCATCCATCTCTTCCTCTCTGCAGGTGGCTATGCAACCACCACATAGGATCTGACAGGCCACATCACCAATGAGGATGGAGGGAAGGGGGCACGCCATCCCGCACATGGCAGGAGGAGGGAAGCTCATCCACACCTAATCCTCACGGCTCGGTCTCCTGCCATCAGCTGGAACCCCAGCCCTCCTCCCAGACACAGTTCCCATGGAACATGGACATTCAGCCTGGAAGATCCCATTCCCAAGTGCCACAAAGAGAAGAAACTGCTGGGGAAAAAAAGATCCACGAGTTAGAGTATTGTCTTTACCACTCTTCTTTACCACTCATCTTCTTAAAAAGATTTATTTAGTTTTTGTTTTCTGAGAAAAGCATAGTGCCACAAAGGGAAGCAGAGATATCTTCCACTCAGGGGGTGTACCCCACAAGTGGTCACAAGAGCCAGGCTTGGCCAGGAACTCCACTGGGGTCTCCCACACAAGTGACAAGGACCCAAGGGTATGGGTCATCATTTGTTGCCTTCCCAGGTACACAGGTAGGGAGGTGGATTAGAAGCAGGAAAGCCAGAACACAAAATGGCACACTGACATGGAGACAGGCATTGTAAGTGGCAGCATAACGCTCTGTACAATACTACTCCCAACTCATACATTTTGCAACTTTTTAAAGTCTAATTTTTAGCTGACATGTAATTCAATTTTCCCCAGCTATTCTTCAGTTCTAGTGATTGGGGGAATTCACAAACATTCCCAAGAGAGAATATGTAGCACCCAGAACAAAATATTTCAAAGACATTACAACCAAAGTCTGAGGATTCTTCTGGGGTTGAAGTTGTGAGTGAGTTAGGCCATTACCTGTAGTGTTGGCATCCCAAACGGGTGCCAATTTGCATTCTAGTTACTCTAGTTCCGATGCAGTTCTCTCTCTCTCATTATATATAATCCATCCATTAGTTTACTCCCCAAACCAGATAGGGCCGGGCCAGGCCAGAGTCAGAAGGAGATTCCATTTGGTCTCTCTCCCATGGGGATGGCAGGGACGTTCAAGTACTGGAGGCATTGCTGGCCTTCAGCAGGAAGCTGGAAGTGGAATGTAAAACCAGGACCTGAGTTCAGGCACTCCAGCAACTGATGCCAGCATTCCAACTGCTGTGCCAATGTCTACACCTACAGTTATTTTGGATAATTAAAAAAAAAAAAAAGGCCTGGTGCAGTAGCCTAGGGCCAAAGTCCTTGTAGTACAAGCATTGGGATCCCATATGGGCACCAGTTCTAATCCCTATGGCCTTGCTTCCGATCCAGCTCCTGTTCATGTGCCTGGGAAAGCAGTGGAAGATGGCCTTAGTGCTTGGACAGCTGCCACCAAGGTGGGAGACCTGGGGTAAGCTCCTGGTACCCGACTTCAGTCTGGCACAGCCCAGGTTGTTGTGTACATTGGTACACCCTTCAACTCTACAAATCCATTTACAGCTACTTATCCTCAGGAAATCAGTGATCAGAAATGCAAAACAACATATACCCCAGGTGTAGGCAAGTGCCTAGGTTGCCTTGCACCTAGGCAAGTGTTACACTGTGAGGAGAAAAACAGGCATTCTGGACCTGGCTAATACCAAATTTGTTTAACTATACCCGTGTACCACCATGGTTGCTTATTTTTTTCTTTAAGTTATCTAGGAAGGTGAGGAATGCCAGGTCAGGACATGCCACCTTGGCCCCCACGCAGGGAGGCTGCCAACTGCCTGGAAAAGGATATCTGGGACATATTTAGTTGAGGGCAACTGAAGGCATGTTTCACTGGGAAGGAATGACTTCTGGGGCCTTCCATAGACTGGGCCACTGCATTTGCAGCTAAGCAAAAGAGCTGAGATAGGGCCCAGCGTGATGGCCTAGCGGCTAAATCCTCCCCTTGAACGTGCTGAGAGCCCATATGGGCGGCAGTTCTAGTCCCGGACACTCCACTTGCCATCCAGCTCCCTGCTTGTGGCCTGGGAAAGCAGTCAAGGACGACCCAAGGCTTTGGGACCCTGAACCAGCATGGGAGACCTGGAGGAAGTTCCTGGCTCCTGGCTTCAGATTGGTACAGCACTGGCCGTTGCGGCCACTGGGAGAGTGAATCATCGGACAGAAGATCTTCCTCTCTGTCTCTCTTCCTCTCTGTGTATCTGACTGTCCAATAAAAATAAAACAAATCTTTAAAAAAAAAAAAAAGAGCTGAGATATAGTGGTTTCAACGGGGAAACCAGAGGACATGTATGAGTCAGGCAAGGCACTCACCCATGAGGGATATCTGGGTTGGGCTAAACAGTATCACCCACCTACTACCTGCCAATGTATGTGAAAAATGAGTTTGGGTGAATGCCTGGATGGGCTACGCCACAGTACCTACCCACAAGCGCCAAAGCAGGAGGTGGGCCACAGTATCCATGAACGAACATGAAAGAACCAAATCTGGGGGCAGATTTTTTAGGGGACTTGGGGTGTGCCTCTGCGGAATGGCAGCACACCCCAGTTTGCTGGGTGTAGTAATGTCCCAAATCAGGCTGGGCCATGGAACTCATCTGACAAAAGCTCATCTGATATCTGCAGGAGCTGCGGCTGGGAGGAGGCAGCACTCATGACAAATGAAAAGGCCAGGACTGAGGGCAGACCATGTCCTCATCTACTGGCACATACAATATCCAAGCAGGGCCACAGCACCTGTTGGTTCAAGTGCAATCTGGGACTAGCAGCAGGCCTGGTAGGAGAATTTGGGAAACTCCTTTACTAGGTTACAGCTCCTGCTGGGTAGTAGAAAAGCCTGGGCTGGGGCAGGACAGGCCAGGCAATGTTGCAGCATTCATCAGCATTTGTGTGGGCCAAGTGTGGGCCAGGCCTTAGCACACACTGGTATGCCTGAGAGCCATGACAGGGTGTGGGCTGTGCCTGGCTGGGATGGGCTGCAATACCTGCTAGCAAGGGCTGAACTGTGAGCAGGCTATGCCAGGCTAGGTCAAAATACCCACCAGCAGGCAGAAGACCTGGAGCTGGGAACAGGCCTGGTAAGAGGAACTCTAGGGCCTCTTCTGCTGGACTACAGCTCTCATTGCTAAGTGCAGGAGACAAGGCCGTGGGTGGACTGGCCTGGGCAAGGGTACAGCACCCAGGGATTGAGTCTGGGGACAGGTCAGACTGGACTAGACTCTAGCACCCACTCATGAGAGCTGCAATGGGTGCGGGCCAATCAGGTTTGGCTGCAGTACACACCAGTAAGGGCCAGGATTAGAGGATGGCTATGTCAGTCTGGGCTGTAGCATCCACTGGCACAAACAATATCCAGCATTGGGTGGTCTCAGTAGGGAACTCCCCTGTTGGCCACAGTTTCTGCTGGTGACTGTGACAGCCAGGGCTGGAAGCAGGCCAGGACAGGCCAGGCCATGCTTGGCTGTAATACCGGTCAGCATATATACAGACCAGATCTAGGAGTGGGCCAGGCTGGGCCAACCCACAGCACATATTGCCACAAGCGAGAGCCAGGATGGGGTACAATACTGCCAGTTTATGTGAGGCTTGCTGGTGACAGCTAGGTCTGGGGATGGGCCATGTCAGACTGAGTGTTCCATCAGAGGATGGACAGTAGAAATCTTTGGACAACTCTACTGATCAAGTTTTGCAGCAAGTGTCTGGGTCTATGGATACACATTGATTTATTGGTCAGCCAATAGATCATGGAAAGATTTTCTCAACCCTGGGCAACAAAACCAACGATGTCTCAGAACTATCTAAACCACTCTAGTAGTAACACCCTCAGAACACTCTTTCCCACATCAGGGTCTCTAAGGTGCCATCAAATGACTGTCTCCCATCCCCAGGAGCTGATAGCAAAGAGTGGTACTCTCTTGTCTCTGCAGACCAGGAGAATAAAATGAAAATAACTAAAACATTTTTTGCTTTAAAGATTTATTTAAGGCATATATAGAGAGAGGAGGAGAGACAGAGAGGAAGAGAGGAAGATCCTTCCGTGTGATGGTTCACTCCCCAACCGGCTGCAATAGCTGGAGCTGAGCTGACTTGAAGCCAGGAGCCAGGAGCTTTTTCCAGGTGTCCCACGTGGGTGCAGGGTCCCAAGGCTTTGGGCCATCCTCGACTGCTTTTCCAGGCTACAGGCAAGGAGCTGGATGGGAAGTGGAGCTGCCGGGATTAGAACTGGTGCCCATATGGGATCATGGCACATTCAAGGCGAGGACTTTAGCTGCTACACTATCACACCAGGCCCAACTAAAACATTTTTCCCACTCACCTTCCTCTATATCTGGACCCTCCCCACCCTAACTGGAAGCATACATGGGTATGCATCCCTCTCAGCTATGTAAATAATGTTAAACTTAATTTTTTGAAGCATATAAAATGATGCTCACTAAAGCCTTTGTAACAACACCAAAAAACAGCATGAACTCAACTTTTTTCTAGTTGTTACATTCATTAACAAAAGAAAGGATGGGCCCGGAGTGGTGGCGCACTGGTTAAGATCCTCGCCTTGCACGCCCGGGATCCCATATGGGTGCCGGTTCTATCCCGGCAGCCCCGCTTCCCATCCAGCTCCCTGCCTGTGGCCTGGGAAAGCAGTCGAGGACGGCCCAGGGCTTTGGGACCCTGAACTCACATGGGAGACCTGGAAGAACCTCTGGGCTCTAGATTTGCTTCCCAAATAGCTGCTGACTGGGAGACCCGGAAGAGGCTCCTGGCTTCGGATTGGTTCAGCTCCAGCCGTTGCAGCCACCTGGCGAGTGAATCATCGGAATAAAATAAATCTTAAAAAAAAAAAAAAAGAAAGGAAAATAGGCCCAGCACAATAACCTAATGGCTAAATACTCGCCTGTTATCTCCCAGGATCTCATATGAGCACCAGTTTGTGTCCTGGCTGCTCCACTTCCCATCCAGCTCCCTGCTTGTGGCCTAGGAAAGCAGTCTAGGATGGCTCAAAGACTTGGGACGCTGCACTCCTGGCTCCTGGCTTCAGATCAGCTCAGCACCAGCCATTGCAGATACTTAGGAACTGTACCAGCAGACAGACCTTTCTTTCTATATCTCCTTCTCTTTGTATCTGTAAATCTGACTCTTCAATACAAATAAATAAACTTAAAAAGAAAAAGAGGAACATTGAGAAATCAGTTCTGCACATTTAAATGGCAGGCTGAGGCAGCAACAGTGTCCAGCCAAAACCCGCAAGTCACAACCACTAGAACTAGATTAGTAAAATTTCATTACTTAAAAAGAATCCTAAATCACTCTTGTTCTGTACACATACACACACAAGACACATACACACACTAAAAAGGATGGCCATTTATGTCCCAAGCTCTCCACGAAGACGACCTTTAAGGGGAGAGATTTTTAGTAGTATTTTAGCTCTGATACTTATTAGTTTTATCGCCTTTGGAGGTGTTCACAAATTCTCTATAAACTTAATTTTTAAAATGTATTTGGTAAGTGGAGGGAGGGAGACAGATAGAAAGAAAAAGGGAAAGAGCTGTCAACCACTGGTCACTCCTGAAATGTCAGCAATGGTCAAAGCCAGTAATTTTTCATTTTCACTCTTTTTTCTTTTTTGGAAAGGCAGAATTACAAAGAGTGTACACTGCCTCCCAGCGTGTGCTTCAGCAGGAAGCTGCAGGTAATCGAGCCCAGACACTCTGATATGAAACACAGACAACCGTTAGGCTAAACGCCCAAGCTCTACATTATCTTGCAAAGTTCAAGAAGTGGGGAAGTGTTGTGGAGCAGTAGGTTAAGCTGTGGTACGAGATGCCAATATCCCACTGAAGTGCCAGTTAACGTCCCAACTACTGTGTTTTTGACCCAGTTTCCTGTTTATGCTTCCATGTGGGAGACCCAGATGGAGTTTCAGACTCCTGGCTTCAGCCTGGCACAGCTCCAGCTGATATGGGTACTTAGGGAGTAAACCAGCAGGCAAGAGTATAACTCTTCCTCTCTCTGTCATTCTGCCTTTCAAGTAGATGAAAATAAACACTTAAAATTTTCAAGAACTTAAAATAAACTTCTGAATTTAAGAGTTCAGGATACGGGATTATGGACACTCTGATTCCATGTATACATGGATTCTGTGTAACCCTACGTGTGTGTGACTAGAAAAAAAAAAAATATATATATATATACATACACACAGCTTTGTATTCTAAGCTGACATTGAAACCAAATTTTTTATTAGATTGAGACTAAAAAAAAAAAAAAAAACTGGCAGGGAAGCAGTCTAGAAAGAGAGAGAGAGAGAGACCAAACATGTGTAGAAGTTGCTGGGTGATATTTTGCACGGATGCTTTCCCAAACCATGGGAAAGGCAGATCCTGCTTCTGTGTCTCGGCATGCTCCGGGCATTTTTTATATCGTTTCACCCCACTTGACTTCCAGACCATCTCTAGTACTGAGACACTACGTATCATTTACAGGTGACCTTTAAGTTGAACATAAGGTCTGAATTTTACATCATTCCTAAATCTCCCCACCACCACACACACACACACACACAAATTTTTTAAATGCTGAATGCTGGCGGAAGTTGAGAAGGCCCTCTTGCAGCCTTACCTTCAGCAGGTTTAGGACTTTCTTTCCGAGATCCAACTCAAAGTTGGCATAATTGGAGCCGCACATGTCATAGATAAACACCAACCCATTCCTCTGCGTTTCAAAGCTGTAAAGCAAGCATTGAGCATGACATTGATAAGCAATCAAAAGATGGAGCAGGACCAAAGCCTAAGGCAAAATAGACCCACAACACATAGGGCATACCTGAGGTCAAAATAACTGCCTGCCTTTACACCAATCTTGGAAAAATATGGTTTATCTCTGGTGTCTGCTCTGTTTACTAATGTGAACTTACTAGATTTATCCAATGCCAAACTCCCAGGGCCAGAATGCTCCAGAAAAGTTACGAGACTTTGAACTGTTGTCCCCTCCCCAAAATGTGTCTATCCAAATCCTATAATACACTCCGCACCCAACCCCAAAGTTTCCTCTTCCAGAATAGCACTGTAGCCCAAAAAGTTAAATCACTTTCTACAGTGCCAGTATCCCATATGATTGCAGATTCCAGTTCTAGTTGCTCAGCTACAGACAGCTCCCTTTTAACACACCTGGGAAAGTAGCAGATGATCCGAGTACTTAGGACTTAGTCACCCCCATGGGAAACACTGGCTCCTAATTTCAGCTGGCCAACCTCTGGGCCTTATGCTCATTTGAAGAATGTATCAGTAGGTGGAAACATGCTCTCTGACTCTATCTTCCTCTTCTCTCTTTGTCTCTATAACTTCGCCTTTCAAATCAATCTTTCCTTTTTTTTAAAAAAAAAATGTATTTGTTTTCACTGGAAAAAGCAGATTTAGAGAAGAGACATCTGCTGGTTCACTCCCCAAGCAGCCAATGTTGCAGCGGAGCCAATGCAAAGCCAGGAGTTTCTTTCTGTTTTCTCACATAGGCTCAGGGTCCCAAGGCTTTGGGCTGTCCTTCACTGCTTTCCCAGGCCATGAGCAGGGAGCTGGATGGGAAGTGGAGCAGCTGGGACATGAACCAGCATCCATATGGGATCCCAGTGCATGCAAGGTGAGGATTCAGCCATTGAGCCATCAAGTTGAGCCTTTAAATCAATCTTTCTTTAAAAACGTTCTATTTATTTTTACTGAAAAGGCAGTTTTACAGAAAGAAGGAGAAACAGAGACAGATCTTCCATCTGCTGGTCCACTCGCCAAATGGCCGTAATACCTGGAGGTAAGCCAACTTGAAGCCAAGAACCAGAAGCTATAACCAGGTCTCCCATGCATATGCAGGGTCCCAAGGCCCTGGGTCATCTTCTGCTGCTCTCAGGCTACAGGCAGGGAAAGTTCTCTCTTCCATAATGGCTTAGTGGTAATTGTACCTAAAGGCAGTTCACGTCTTGAGACCAGCACAAGGGTTCAACTGGCGAGTCCTCTATCTGTAAGCACCAGTATCCCATATGGGTGCTGGTTCATACCCTAGCTGTTCCACTTCTGATGTGGTTCCCTGCTTGTGGCTTGGGAAAATATTAGAGGATGGCTCAAGTCCTTAGGTCCCTGTACCCACATGGGAGACTATGAAGAAGTTCCTGGTTTCTGGCTTCAGATCAGCTTAATTCCAGCCATTGCGGTTATTTATGGAGTGTACTGGTAAATGAAAAATCTTTTTCTATTTCTATCTATAAGTCTCCTTTTCCAATAGAAGTAAACACATCTTAAAAATAAATAAATACTACTGTCCTCCTGTCCATCTTCCTGTGGACTGGTCTTGTACCCTGTAACGCGCCACCCTAGTGTAGCCATGCAATTCTCTCCAAGAGGGCACAAGTCTCTGCTTTCCACCTCCATACTCCACCTCCCCCAGTCCCCCGCTGTTCCTAGCACAGCCCTGGAGACTAAAAAGTCATGGACTTGCATTGCATTAGACAGGGAGCCCAGCAAGATATTTTAGACCCACGGGAAATGGTACAGAACTTCCTCTAACTTGCTGATGGTGAATTTGTCTCCTGTAAGTCGATGGAACAGACATCAAATGCACAAATGATCTTTGCAAGGTATCTCAGAAAGGACTTTATAAGGTACTAAGCTTAGCCCCAGGTTGAGCTGTGGAGCCTGAGAAGATATGCTTGAATTGCGAAGACATCCCAACGTCGCACCCACTCCAGCCCAGATGTTGGGTGCTGCCGACACACGTATCTGCTGGCTGTCAGGACTCAGGGGCAGGAGCGCACTACTTACAGAAACTCACAGCAGCTTCTGCACTTGTTTGGAATGAGAAAAGGCACATGACCCAAAACACACTCCTGAAACAAAGCGCCTCCATAACGTGCTGTGACCTTAGCGCAGCACCTCTCGGAAGCCTAGAAACTCCCTCAGTGGAACACAATCCAGGGCAGAAGCAGCCATCCAGGAGGTAGCATCTCCAAAACCTCTCATTCTGAGGCACAAACACATTCCCCCTGAAAATCAGTCTTAACTGGCACGTAATGTATACATCCGGGCTATTTCTGGACACTTTGCACCCAACCCCAGCCAGACCATGATTCCTCAAGACGAAGATGCTGCTAAAATATAGGGCACAGAGTGGGCATCCAGCCCCGTGGTTACAACGCCAACTGGTACACCTGCATCTTGTACTGAAATGTTCTGGCTCCACTTCTGACTCCAGCTTCCTGCCTGCCACCTGTTCCTGGAAGTAGCAGGTGAGAGCTCACGTGGTTGGGTCCCTGCCAGCATCACAGAAGATCTGGATGGAATAGCATGCTCCTAGCTATGACAAGCATTTAGAGTGACCAGCAGAGGGAAGCATGAATATGCTTACTTTGCCTCTCAAAGTTTTGAAGTATTACCAAAAAGCTAAGTGGTACAATTATAGAGTAGACTATCCAGGCCTAAAATGCCATTTCTCCATTTGCGCCCACGCCTATTTTGAAGTGCTATAGGTTTTCCGTCATGGCTCCAGCCAGCGGAACAGAAAACAGGCCTGTGTACTGTGATCCTGGCTGTTCACCGCAGGAGAGAAGATGCTTGTCTACAAGGCCCAGGAGCCCAGGGAAAGTTCAGTGCAGCTCACACCTTCCCAGGCACAGTACACGGCATCTAAAGTGAATCCCAACTGCTTCCTTGCCAAGTGGGACTCCCGAGTTGTCAGGCTTTGGGGAGCACCGCCATGTTTAAGACACAGTCCCTAACGTTTGTCTTAAAACATTGAAGAGTAGGGGGTAGGTAGCCAGTTAGCGCAGTCGGTTAGAGCACAGTGCTAATAACACTGAGATCATGGTTTCGATTGCTGTACAGGCCACATTGGGGCTTTTAACCCCTATATCCTCAAACTGCAATCTGGAGGGATACCACGTGATAGGGGAAAGCCAAGGCCTCAGCTCTTGGTAGAAAAATGCAGGGTCAGCAGTGAAACAAGACTGGTTACAGATCATTTTGAAGATGATCATGGCATGAGGGTGTTTATTTATTATTTTTTTTAATTTAAAAATCTGGTGGGGGTTATTGTGGGTTGCTCCGACTAGGCTGCAGATCCCACTTGTTTATGTGAGGGCCGAGTGTGTGCTGGGCAGAACCAGGCTGGACTGCAACACTCTTTAGTTCCAGTGGAAGACAGCTGGAAACAGAACCAACCCAGCAATTGCAACCACCAGCCGATGGGGCGGTGGACTGTGCCGGGCCCTGTACTTGCTAGTACTCACAAGAATCTGGTCTGGGAACACCTCAGACAAAGCTTTTTTGGGATCTCCCCAATCGAACTCCCGGACTCAGAACCCTTACCATGAAAAGACAGAGGACAGAACAAGTCAATCAAGCACCTCAGCTATATGTTGGCAGTGAAAAACTGGGCAAATGGAGACTCTATGATGGACTATGTCAATCAGTGGATTCTTCAATGACCTCATCATGCTTGGAGTGGCAGGACTGGCAGCAATTCATACCTGCTGAACTATCAAAACCACTTGGGCAAGACCCTCGGAGCATGCCCCACATCTTGGACCTGGGATGGATGGGAAATTAGGTTGGACTTGTCCCTTAAAACCCTCTTTACCTCAGATACATGAAGGAAACAATGTGGACATAATAGTCTTCCCCACTTTCCTGAGCCCTTGAACCTTTTTACCCTAAGTAACTATGTAAAGATTGTCAAAAATATAATTTTAAAAAGTGGAAAAAGTAAAAAAAAAAAAAAGAAGAAGAAGAAGAAGAAGAAGATTTATTTTTATCACAAAGTCAGATATACAGAGAGGAAGATCTTCTATCTGATGATTCACTCCCCAAGTGATGGCAACGGTCAATGCTGTGCCAATCCAGAGCCAGGAGTCAGGAACTTCTTCCAGGTCTCCCACACGAGTGCAGGATCCCAAGGCTTTGGGCTGTCCTTGACTGCTTAGGGAGCTGGAAGGGAAGTGGAGCTGCCGGGATTAGAACCAGCGCCAATATGGGAACCCAGCACATTCAAGGCAAGGACTTTAGCTGCTAGGCCATTGTGCCGGGCCCTGCATGAGGATGCTTATGACATCATTCTTCTCCATCTGCCAAGACCCAGCCATTTTCCATCATAGCAGGTCACAAACAACTTCCTGGCCCTCAAGGTGCTCACATTCTAGTGCAAGATGAAAACCATAATAGCTGTGCAAGCCAAGGCCATGACAAGGCTATGGAGGATGAAGTACATAATGACTGCTACTGTTAACACCTGCTGCCTTGACCTGATTATGCCCCTCTGAAGTTCACATGGGAATCTGATCCCCACTGTGAAGTAACTTAAGCCAACTATGCTGGTTACAGATAGAGACTTGGGGAGGTGGTGAGGATTAGATAAAGTTGTGGGGTACAGCCCCCATGACTGAATCCTGGGCGCTCCGTAAGAGGAGAAGGAGAGCCCAGAGGAGACACAGGTGCTCCCTTCCTCTCCCGATGTGATGTCCTACCAGCAAGAAGGCCACACCAAATCCAACATGGCTCTCAGCCTGACCTTCAGATCTGTGAGTCTAAATAAACTTCTCTTTGCACTTGCTTAGCCTGTGACATTGGGCTATTATATTAGCCAGAGAAAATGAACTAATATACTGTTAGCAAGGCAAAGCAAGCAGTTTATTTCTGACTCTGGAGCAGTGAGAGTCAGAGAAACTGGGCCTTGCAACACAGGTAGCATGTAGTGACAAGGAGGGGACAAGGAAGATCACACAGGAAACCATGATGTCCCTTCCCCCCGGGGAAAACAGTTGGCCTTTACCAGGGTAATATGCACCCTGTGGATGCTGAGATGTCACAGGGACCTTGAACAAGGAGACGGAGACAGTATAGCTTTCACTGGATTGATCTGCATAGCCCTCTTTGGGACCGATACTCATACCAGATGAAGCAAGCTATGACCACTGTCCTGCCTCCTTTTCCATTAGAGCCGGGGCTCCAACTCTGAGCCTCCTGAGGGGAAGGCCAAAACTGGACCTGCATTTACTCCCTGAGCTACAGCAGCATTTCACAGGAGCCCATATTCTGCAAATGATGTCTGGCAAGCAGTCGCACGAAAGGGTTGAGGAATCTCAGCCTGCACAGGTCCTCATTGCTCCTCACACATTGGCAAGAGCTCTTTCACAATCTCCGTGTGTCATTCTGTCTCCCACCAAGCACCAACAGTAGAAGCTGACTGTACATTGGCTGTGAGCAACACACAGAGTCCCAGCCGCAAGTCCCATGGCCATTCCAGCCTGAAGCGCACAGCCTGACTGCAGCTGCACACAGCTGCCCCTCACCAGCTCGGGTCTCAGCCCTGGCAGCATGGGCAACCCCAAGGACCAGCCTAGCATGCTGAGGGCTCTCACAGAGACTCAACACAGAGCACCAGAGAAAGAAGGCATGACAGCGAACAGCCTTCCAAGGCACAGACAGCCCTGGCCAAGAGGCAAGAAGTCAGGACCTCAGGCAGAGATGGAACAGCGAGGGGTGACCACAAAGAAGATCACACACCTTCTGGGACGTCAGTCTCCTTGTGTGTAACTGCAGTAATTCCACCTGTCTTCAAGGTAGGGGAGTGGAGAGAGAGGCAATGTGAACTAGCTCCCTTCACTTATGAACTTGCTCTTCTTACAAAATTGATTTTGTTTAACCTCACATTTCTGGATTCTCCTCTCCTGAATACTGATTCTCAATGTCCTTTAACATTCTCAGAATTATTCCTACTTTAGGAACAAAAGAAAAAAGTGAAGGGGCCTGTCGCAGTAGCCTAGTGGCTAAAGTCTTCCCCTTAAACACGCTGGGATCCCATACGGAGGCTGGTTCTTATCCCGGCACCACCACTTCCCATCCAGCTCCCTGCTTGTGGCCTGGGAAAGCAGTTGAGGATGACCCAAGGCCTTAGGACCCTGCACCCATGAGGGATACCTAGAAGAAGTTCCTGGCTCCTGGCTTCGGATTGGCACAGCACCGGCCGTTGGGGCTCACTGGGGGAGTGAATCATCGGACGGAAGATCTTCCTCTCGGTCTCTCCTCCTCTCTGCATATCTGACTTTGTAATAAAAAATAAATAAATCTTAAAAAAAAAAATAGAGCCAAGGTGGAAAACAGACAGAAAACCCACCCTCACGAAAGTACCAGGAAAGACACCAGATACTTAAGGACATGCACTATTTTCCTTCCTTTAAAAAAAAAAAATTATTATTTATTTATTTATTTGCAAGAGCTACAGCAGGAAGGGGGAGACACAGAAAGATCTTCCATCTGCTGGCTCACTCCCTAAATGGCAAGAACAGCCAGGCTGAAGCCAGCAGCCAGGAAGCAGGAGCCAGGAACTTCTTTCAGATCTCGCATGTGGATGAATGGGCCCAAGAACTTGTTCATTTCTCACTGCCTTTCCTAGGCCATTAGAGGGGAAGTGGAGCAGCTGGGACTGAACCAGCACTCCAACAGAATGCAAAGTTGAAGACAGCAACTGCCACAATACTTGCCCCCGCCCCCCTTTTTTTTTAATGATTTATTTATGCTATCAGCATTGTGGCATAATATGCTAATCCTCCACCGAAGTGTCATCATCCCAAATGGATGCCACTCTGTGTCCCAACTGGTCCACCTCCAATCCAGCTCCCTCCCAGTGGTTTGGGAAAGCAGCAGAGGATGGCTCAAGTTCTTGGGCCGCTGCACCCATGTGGAAGTCAGGGAAGAAACTCGTGCTCCCAGGTCTAGGCATTGTGACCATTGTGCGGGTGAACAAAATGTTCTCTCTCTCACTCCTCTCTGTAAATCTGCGTGTCAAATAAAACACATTTATTTATTTAGAAGGCAGAGTTACAAAGGGATAGGAAGACAGACACACACAGAGGAGAAAGAGAAGGAAGATAAAGAGAAAGGGAAAGAGAAAGGGAAGAAGGAGAAAGACAAAGAGAAAGAGAAAGAAAAGGGAAAGAGAGAAAGAGAAGGGGAAGGGAAGAGAGAAAGAGAAAGAAAGAGAGAGAGATTGGGAAGGGAAAGCGATCTTTCATCTACTGCTTCATTCCCCAAATGGATATGAAGAACCTAGGTGTTTTCTGCCTTTGGTAACTGCCTTAATGGCTTGGCTGGGGGGCTGTGTGAACACCGGGCCAGACAGTCTACGTGACACCCGGCAGGACACCTGGCAGGTCCCGTAGGCAGATCACTCCTCAGGAAGGAGGTACCTGGTGTTTGATAAGATTCACCGCCCTACAGCTCATCGATTTGTACATTTTGAAAGTTGCTTGCTTCAAATCCACCAATAGAAGCCTGCTAAATCATGACTATAATTAATAGCCTAAAATGTATAAGAACTGGGGGGCTCTGGCTCTTGTTCACACTTCTTTTGCCTTCCCTGTGGATCCTGCAGCAGCTGAGTCTGCGCCCCCACTCCCCCCCAGCCCTGCAGACTTCAGACTTGACGATTATCCGGGGATTTCAAAATCTGGCACAACAGATACAAGAACTGGGGCTGAGCCAGGCTGAAGCCAGGATCCTGGAGCTTCACCCAGGTCTCCTACATGCGTGGCAGAGGCTAATGACTTGGGTCACGTTCCACTGCTTTCCCAGGTACGTGATTAGGGAGCTCGATCAGAAGCAGAGCAGCAGGAATATGAACGTGTGCCCATATGGGATACCGGCATCACCGGCATTAACAAGCCCATACCACAATGCTAGCCCGATTGACTATTTTATACAAGGCACCATCCAGGGTACGACATGGAGCATGGGGAAGGCACTGCTGAGTCTGGTCACTCTCCAAACTGAACGTAAACCAGCTCAAGGTCACCCCAACGCTTACCTATCCACAGCTCTGTCCAGCAAGTAGAACAGAGCCTGAAGTACCACGTGTTGGACTGACTTGTGGGGGTGATGCAGTCTGGCAGTGAAGAGGGCAATGGAGGCTCCCGTTGGGTCCCGAACATCCTACAGCAAGTTAAAAAGGGAACATTCAGAAATCAGAGAGAAAGTCACAGCAGCCACTGAAGTTTCCATCCCAAGTGAAGGAAACAGATGCTGGCCACACTTGCCTAACCTGGCCCTTGGAAAAGAAAGCATGCTCGAATCCTATCATGCCTGGCTCTCCATGGATCATCCTCCTTCAGTGCGAGAAAAAAAGAAAATTCTCAGGCCCAGCAGGTTAGCCTAGTGGCTAAAGTCCTCACCTTGCATGTGCTGGGATCCCATACGGACATTCAAGGCGAGGACTTTAGCTGCTAGGCGCTGGGCCCCATCCACTAGTTTTTTTTCTCCCAAATGACCAAAAAAACTACACCAATCCAAAGCCAGGAACCAGAAGCTTCCCCCCGGCCTTCCATGAAAGTGCAGGATCCTAAGGCTTTCTCAGGAAAAAAGCAGGGAGCTAGATCAGTCAGAAGCAGAGCGAGCAAGACAAGAACCGGTACCAGAGGCAGGGATGCCACTGCCTCGAGTGGAAGCATTAGCTAGATGAACCAATGCACCAGCCCCAAAATAAACAAATTAAAAAAGAAGAAGAAATATGGAGCCAGTGTAATAGCTCAACAGGTTAATTCTCTAACTGCAAGTGCCCAGAAACCCATTTGGGCACCAGTTCGTGTCCCAGCTGTTCCACATCGCATTCAGCTCCTTGCTTGTAGCCTGGGAAAATAACAGAAAATGGCCCAAGTCTTTGTGCCCATACATCCATGTGGGAGACATGGAAGAAGCCCATAGCTCAAAGTTTTGGATTGGTCATATCTGGGCATTGCAGTCATTTGAGGAGTGAAACAGCAGATATTTATCTCTCCTCTCTGTAAATCTAGCTTTCTAATAAAAATAAAATAAATTAAAAAAAAATGAAGCATGAATCTGACACATTGGACACCAACTCCAAAGGCCTTCATGAACTGGCCCTGAGGAATTAATGCAGAAACTTCTCTGTGTCAGCCACCTGATTCTCTGTAATTCAATTATTACTAGTAATTCCAGTTCAGTTTGCTTTTTTTTTTAAGATTTATTTATTTTTATTGGAAAGTTAGATATACAGAGAGGAGGAGAGACAGAGAGGAAGATCTTCCGTCCAATGGTTCACTCCCCAAGTGACTGCAACAGCTGGAGCTGAACCAATCTGAAGCCAGGAGCTCTTTCAGGTCTCCCACATGGGTGCAGGGTCCCAAGGCTTTGGACTGTCCTCAACTGCCATCCCAGGCCACAAGCAGGGAGCTGGATGCGAAATGGACCACCAGGATTAGAACTGGTGCCCATATAGGATCCTGGCACGTTCAAGGCAAGGACTTTAACCACTACGCTATTGCACCAGGCCCTCCAGTTCAGCTTTAACCAGAATAATTTGGTGCACAATGGCATGGCTATTGTACATCTGTCCCTGAGGATGGAGACTCTAGAGCCAAGATAAGGTATCAATGAATCCAGCTGGACCCAGATGAAGGTCACAAGGGGCTCAGGAACTCACCAGGATGGTGAACTTGCCACTGAGGATTTCCGAACGGAGGGGCTCCTCATGAGGTTTCAACTTCACAATCCCTTCCTTCCTGCGTGTTTCCTGAAACAGAAGAATGTGGGAAGATGAGCATAGATGCAAGGATGCAGATCCAGGCAGCTCTGTGCAACCAGTGCTCCTCAGTGCAGAGGAGGCCCATGAAGTCACAGGAGTGAACCACGACTGGCTCTCAGAATTCCTTCCCAATCACCTCAATCACCTCAGGGGTTACTTCGGCAAGGGTATGTTCTCTGAAGCACTAGGAATACGAATCCTGAAAACCAAACAATATTCAAAGCACTTCAGGAAGTCCAGATGTGTGCATCTGGCCTAAAGACACCCACATCACATGTGAGACTGCGCACATTCCACACCCAGGCCTCCTGAATACAACTTCCTGTTTGTGTAGACCCTGGAAGGCAGCAGTGATGACAGCCCGTGGAGTGGGCTCCCACCACGCATTCCAAGACCTGGATTGAATTCCACACTCCTGAACTTGGAACCCCAGCCAGGGCAACCCCTTTAAGTGAACCAGGGGACAAGAATTCTCTTTCTCAAACAAATAAATTTATAAGGGGCAGGTGTTTTGTGTGACAGTTAAGAGGCCAACTGGGACACCTCCATCTTAAAGCACTGGGTTACAGTCCTGCCTCTACTCCCAATTTCAGAATCTGAGAATCAGCAGATGAGAGCTTAAGTATTGGTTCCCTAGCCATAGGGAGGGAGACCTGTGGGAGACCTGGCCATAGGCTGCCCTACCCCCATCTGGGTATTTAGGGAATGAAACAGCTATCTGGTCTGCCTGCCTGCCACTTCTTACTTCTACTTTAATACATTTTTTTAATTTTAAGGTTTTTTTATATTAAAAAAAAGTTTAAGTTATTTTTATGTTATGTAAAAAGGAGGGGGATAGGAGAGGAAGAAAAGAGGAGGGTAATGAAGAAAAGAAGGAAGAACTTCCACCCACCTCTTCACTACTGAGATTCCCACAACAGCCAGAGCTGAGCCAGGCCAAAGCCAGGAGCCTGCAATATCATCTGGGTCTTTCACACGGGTAGCAGTGTCCCAAGTATACACCATCACCAGGTACATTAGCAGAGAACTGGACCAGATGTAAAGCTGCTAGAACTCAAACAAGCCCCCCATGGGATGCTGGTATGGCAGACATCTGTAGTTTAATTGGCTACACTACAATTGTTTGCCACAGGTGAACAGAAAAACAGGATTTTTTTGCAAGGCAAAGAGACAGCACACCCTCAGACAAAAGTACAGGCAACCTCAAAAGCGAGAACTGCAGGAATGCCATTGTGTCACAGCCAGTAAAGGCTGCTGCTCGTGATGCCACCATCCCAAAAAAATGCTGGTCCATTCATGAGTCCCCACTGCTCAGCTTCCAGGCCAGTTCCCTGCAAATGTCCCTGGGACGGCCACAGAACATGACCCACATGTTTGGGCTCCTGCCAACAAGGGAGACCCAGGTGGAGTTTCTGGTTTCTGGGTTCAGCTTGGCTATGGCAGTCATTTGGGGAGTTAATCAGTGGATGAAAGATTCGTTTGTTAGTGTCTATCTCTCTTGGTTATGCTATCTTTCAAATAAAATAAATAAACAGAAAATAAAAGTTTAGTCCAAAAATCTTGAAACATATGCATACAAAGGATCTTTACAAATACTGTGGAAAAGAGCAGGCACTGTAGCAAAGCAGGTTGAGCAGCCCTAGATAAATTTAAGTATTCCGGGCCCGGGTGTGATGGCGCAGTGATTAAGGTCCTCACCTTGAACACCCCGGGATCCCATATGGGCACCGGTTCTAATCCCGGCAGCCCCACTTCCCATCCAACTCCCTGCCTGTGGCCTGGGAAAGAAGTCGAGGACGGCCCAAAGCTTTGGGACCCTGCACCCGCATGGGAGACCTGGAAAAAAGTTCCTGGCTCCTGGCTTCGGATCGGCATAGCATCGGCCGTTGCGGTCACTTGGGGAGTGAATCACCGGATGGAAGATCTTCCTCTCTGTCTCTCCTCTCTGTATATCTGCCTTTCCAATAAAAATAAAAAAATAAATCTTTAAAAAAAAATTTTTACGTATCCGAATGCAGAGAGCTGGTTTGAATCTCGGCTGCTCTGCTTCCAATCCAGCTTCCAACTAAGGCCTTGGGAAGGCACTGGAAGGGGTCCAGTGCAATAGTTCATTGGCTAAATCCTCACCTTGCATGCACTAGGATCTCGTATAGGTGCCAGTTTGTGTCCCAGCTACCCCACTTCCTATTCAGCTTCCTGCTTGTGGTCTGGGAAAGCAGTGGAGGATGGCCCAAAGCCTTGGCACCCTGTACCCACGTGGGAGACCTGGAGGAGACTCCTGGTTCCTGGCTTCAAATCAACTCTGCTGCAGCTGTTTTGTCCACCTGGGGAGTGAACCAGTGGACGGAAGATCTTTCTCTCTGCTGTATGTCCCTTTCTCTGTAAACCTGCCTTTCCAAGTAAGTAAGAAAGAAATCTTTCTTTAAAAAAAATGTGGAAGGCACTGGAAAACAGTTCCAACATCTGGGTCTCAACCACCTTCGTGGCAGACTTATAGACCTTGTTAACTGTTTTAGCCTGGCATAGACCTGACTGTTGTGTGCTCAACTGCAGAGTGAACCAACTGAGAGAAGAAACCTCTGTTCACCTCTGTGGAGCTGCAATGTCTGCTGGTTTGCTCAAGAGCGGGGCAGGCCACAACATCCACCAGCTCACACAAACATCAAGACAGAGGGGGCAGACTATGCCGCATAAGGATCTAGCATCCACTGATACATGTGAGATCTGGGTCCCGGAGTTGGTCTGGTGGGAGAACTTGGGAAACTCCCCTGGTGGGCCATAGCTCTCACCGATGAGCATGTGATTCAGGCCAGAGTGATGGTCAGGCTGGACAAAGTAGCTCCACTTTATCAGCAAGTTGTTTCTGGGGTTGACAGGACAAGGCAGGGCTGGGCGAAATCTTAGCACACTGTCATGTGCAGGAGTCAGGATGGAGTGCGGGATAAGCTGGGCTAAGCTATCAACCTACTGATTTGCATGAAAGCCAGGGATGGGGGCAGACTGAACAGGAGTAGGCTACAGCACCCGCCAGCAAGAACTGGGACTGAGAACAGGCCAGAACAGCAAGGCTGCAGCACCCACAGGCAAAGGTCAAGATGGAAAATGAGCTATGCCAGGCTGGGTCACAACAACCACTGGCACCCACTGGTATGTACAAAAGCTGAATGGGATGCAATATAGGCCAGACCAGTCTGCAGTACACACTGGCATGCATAACAACCACGGATGGGAGAAGGCCCAGTGGGGGTTACTGGGGATTGCTCCAACTGGACTGCAGTTCCTGCTGGTGTACGTGAGGCCCGAGTGTGTGTTGGGCACAGGTTGGCTGGGCTGCAGCATTCATTGGTTTATGTAAGAGTTGCTGAAGACAGAACTGACCCAGCAACTGCAACCACCAGTGTGTGTGTGTGTAGGCTTATGCAGGTGATCAACTGAGCTGGACCCTGCACTATCTAGCACACACAAGAGTCAGGTCTGGAGTCACTTCAGATCAAGTTTTTTTGGAGACCCCCCACCCCACAACTGAGCCACTGGACTCAGATTTGCATCCACAGGGAGAACTGCAGGATCTGTGGTCTGACCATGAGTGCATGTGTCAGAATTAGGTCTCATCAGTCGCTAAGACGGTGCAGTGGCCAGCATGTCCAGATGCACACAGGGGATACTGCAGTGCATTGGGGCCTGCAGAGGAATATCTAGTACCACAGCTGAGAATGGAGGGCAGGACAAATTAGACAACTCTCCCAGCCCAGCATTGAAAACATGTATCTGGGTAAATGGAGACTCTGAGATGGACTATGTCAATCAAGGTACCTTGGAAGGGTTTCTACATCCTTGGAGCAATGAAATGAACAAAACTACCAACATCACCTGAGCAGAACCCTCAGAGCATGCTCGATACTGGGGACCCTGGGATGACATCGGGTGGCCATCTCCCAGCCCTGGTACTGATGTGGTTAGGATGGTGAGTGCAGCTTCTGCCCTTCTCTTTCCCTACAATCCCCCAGATACAGGAAGGGAGAAAAAAGAAAATTAGAAATAAGGGTCTCATACACTTGCCTCTAATCCTCAATCCGTCCCACCCTAATCAGCGGTCCACATGGGCATACATTCTTCTCAATTATGTAAATATCATCAAAAATGAATCTTAAAAAAAATCTCAGTCTCCCTCTCCATCACTGTGCCTCTCAAATAAACTAACCTTAAAAAAAAAAAAAACCTGTGGAAAATACATTTTGTGAAAAAAACTGCTTGGTTTTGCACAAAATAAGTATCTTCATAAAATATTCAGGCAGAGCATCAAAGTTTTTAACCATGCAGCAGCACTGATAATGAAACATGGACCCAAGAATAGTTTGGAAACATACATCCTCCAGGCTTAGGCCTCTCTGTCAAGCACAGAATCCTCCTCTAGCTTACACTGTCTTCAACAATTCCACAAGCCTTCATCTTTTCATCTTCTTTGGCTCTTTTTTTTTTTTTAAGACTTATTCATTACTGCAAAGGCAAAGTTATGAAGAAAAACAGCAAGAAAGGAAGGGACAGCAATCTTCCATTCATTTTTTTACTCTCCAAATGGTTGCAAAGGTGGGCTGGGCTAGACCAACCCAGGAGCAAGGAACTTCATCCAGGTCTCCTATATGGGTAGCAGGGGCCCAAGAACTTGAACCATCTTTTTCTGCTTTCTCAGGCAATTAGCAGGGAGCTGGAATAGACACCAATATTTGAATTAGCACTCCAATATGAGATGCTGGCGTCACAAACAGTACCACAATGCCAGTCTCCCAGTTTTCCTTGAAATGACAAGGTTCACCACTCACATTCTCTATCTTAGCACAACAATGACCAAGCAAAATCTCTCTTGGTTTTCCTATTTCTTTGGCTACTCCTCCTAAGTCTCTTTTGTGGGCATTTTTTCATTCATTTACTTACTCAACTTCACTCATTCATCCATTTACTTAGGTCACATACTCATTCATTACTTTTGCAAATATTTGCAGGGCAACAATTACATAACTGGTCCTGAACAAGGTGTCTTTGTTTATATTCTTCTCTTCTCCATCTCTAAAATTGCATTCCAGTGCTTTCTGAGGCAAGGCAACAAGTGAAGGGAATGCTAGCAGTGTGACAACAGGAGAGTAAATGTCCTACCACACAGATTCAAACACAATATTCAAAATAACGCAGTGCGAGTCTGAGGTGAGGCTCACCTCCTGAGATGACCGCCATGCATTCCCAAGGCCCCAGGACCCAGCTCTGCTTTGGTCACCTGAGATAACTATTTCCCACCCAGACTTACTGTCTGATCCAGCTGTGTGGAGCACAGGTTTGTATGGATCTGCCAAAGGCACTTCAGGCTTCACAGGACCAACTCCACTCACAACCTTGTCTACACATACAGTGTCTCCTAAGACACTGAATGCCACTGCCATTTGCCCTGACACCCATGTTGGAAACCCAACACCTGGCACAAGCATTTGGCCTAGCAGCCTCTCTTATCAGACTGCCTGGATCCAACAGCTGCTTCCAGTTCCTAACCCCAGCTTCCTGCTAGTTACATTCTGGGAGGCAGTGATGGTGGCTCCAGTCCTTGCATCCCTGCCACCAAACCCGGGAAACCTGGGCTGAGCTCCTGGCTCCAGCCTGGGCCCAGCTCTGGTCATTCCAGGCATTTGAGGAGTGAACAAGAGGATGGACATTCTCTCTGTGCCTCTCACATGAACACAAATATACATACATACACAAATTATTCCCTTCACACAGGCTTCCTGCACACGCCTAGCTGTGCTTCCACCAAGCCCAGGGCAGCCCCATCACAGCATTTCTCTAACTGCTTACTCTTTCTGTCATGTGACCTCTGCACCTGGAAGATAGTGGAAATGTAATGAGTATCTTTTGAGCGAATGAATAACCACAGAGCAGACTGGCCCATAAACTAAATGTAAGTGAGCTTCAGCCCTAAACTAATCCTAGTCTTCATTATGCCAATTTTGAGTAATTCTCTTTAATACAGGTTGTTGTTTTTTTCTTGTTTTGTTTTGTTTTGCAAAACAGAGAACAGACACAAATGATCTTACATCTACTGGCTCACTCCCCAAATGCTCACAACACCTGGAACCTGGGTTGGGCCAGGCCAAAGCTGGAAGTACATTTTGGGCTTCCCACCTGGGTGTCAGGGAGCCACGGCCTTGAGCCATCTGCCGCTGCTTCCCAGGCTCTGCAGGAGCAAGGAGCTGGAACGGAAAGCAGACCTAGGACTTGAACAGCAGCACCCTGCTATGGGATACGGGCATCCCAAGCAGCTCCTTCACGTCTGCGCCAAATCCCTGCCCCTCTCCCCAACTTCATTCGGGACGTTTTTGTTTCTGTTTTTAATTTCAGGAGATTTTTATCCCTTCAGGATTTCTGACCCCAGAGTAACAAGTGACACAATGTTTCATCCAGGAAAAGACAAATATCAGCACAGAATCAAACTCTATATGTCTTCAACAAACAAAAATCCAAACAAAGAGCAAAAGCAGAAAGAGGCTCATGCAAATACCCTAGCACAGAGGTACTGGGGAGACAACAGACCACGCAACACTGCCTGGGGCCAAGGTTCCTCTGCCTCGGTTAGACTCACTAAGCCCAGCACAGCCCCAAAACCCCCAGTGACACAGCAAACCAGTGAAGCAGGCAAAGCTGCGACCAGAGGCCAGTGAGGAGAGCTAGCACCCACACTGCAGCAGGGGTGAGCCAGGACCACGCCAGGCTACATGCTCAGCTTCACTCCTCTCACATTCTGTGTGGCATCCTGGTCTACAACCAAAATGCAGACACAGGAGTTTGGGTCTGCTCTGGAGGGTAAGACACTCAGGTCTATGATTAGAGGGCCTGAGTTCAATACCCGCCTCCAGCTTCTGGCTCCAGCGTCCTGCAGTGTAGATCCTGGGAGGTAGCAAGTGACAGCTCAAGTGATTGGGACCCTGCCACCCATGTGGGAGATCTGGATTGAATTCTGAGCTCTCAACTTTAGCCCACCCCAGGCCTGGCCTTCTTATATATTTGAAAAAGGAACCAGTAGATGCTTTCTTCTGTCTGCTCCTCAAACACATCTCTGCTCACCCCAGTTCCCACAAGAACTCTTGGATGCTGATCCCAGGGAGAACAGTCAGGGAAGCAATGTGCAGTGTGTAGAGTCCAGCCGGGAGCGGAGCAGCACTCAGAGAACTCCTCCACCCTCCACCCTGTGCCCCACACCCAGAGCACCCCGCCCCGCACCCGACAGCCAGGAGTGCCCGCCCCACTCAGCATACTCTGTAACAGTGGAACAGCTCTATGGCACGGAGCACATCAAACTTCCTGGCCATGAGGAACTTGACAGCCACATTCCATGAGAGCGGGGAGACGTTGTACTGCACCGTCCACTTGTTAATCTCTTCAAGAAACTGCTTGGTGGCCTGTGTGACAAAGAAAGTGAAAGATGAGTAAGAATAGAATACACCGATGGGACCAATCAGCAAACAAGCAGATATAAACTGTCATCCTTTTCCCTCAAGTAAATATAAACTCAGAAATGCACCTCAGGGAGCAGGGAAAACAAAAAGTAGAAGATAAGCTGGAAAAAAGAAAGAGCTAAATCTCCCTCTCTACCTCTCCTCTCTGTAAATCTGTCTTTCCAATGAAAGAAATTTTAAAAGAAAGAAATAGCTAAAATCCATACAACTCTGTAGGGGCAGAGCCAGGTTTGTTCAGAGAGCTGGCCCAGGGAAGCACAAAAAATAATAGGCACAGACCAGCACTCCGGAAGGAAATGCAAATCACTGTTCCCAAATAAAACAAAACAGGGCTTTCTTCTCTTTTGTTCTGAAGCGCCCTCTTATGGTAACAGTGAGAGGAAGTGCGGCAGCAGCGTAGGTCCATAAGTCAACTGGACACAGCAAAGCAATCTGCACACGGTTTAGCTCTGGGATTAGCAGGACTGCCCCAAAACAGCAAAAACTCCAATAGCAAGAATTTAACCAATCTGAGCCCGGCGCTGTAGCCTAGTGGCTAAAGTCCTTGCCTTGCATTCCCGGGGATCCCATCTGGATGCTAGTTCATATCCTGGCTGCTCCACTTCCCTTCCAGTTCCTTGCCTGTAGCCTGGGAAGGCAGTGGAGGACAACCCAAGGTATTGGGACCCTGCACCTACATGGGAGATCCGGAGGATGCTCCTGGCTCCTGGCTTTGAATCAGCTCAGCTCTGGCGATTGCAGCCGCTTGGAGAGTGAACCAGTGGATGGGAGCTCTTTCTGTCTCTGTAAATCTGACTTTCCAATAAAAGTAAAATAATAAATCTTTACAAAATTTATTCAATCCAAAAGTGGCCTGTCTTCTGTGTTCACTGACCCCATGTACCCAAGACATGCAGAATGGCCCCTCTGGAAGTGGATTTGGGTAGCGTGACTATAAAAATAGGAAAGGGAGGAGGGAACTTTTTATTTTCACTGTGTGACCACAAACTGGCAAGATATCTGCTTCTAGAACTGTTCTTAGCACCATTTCTCCCTCTTTTGACCCGAATTCTACTCTAGCCAAACTACCCCCTGTTTCATCAATTGATCACTAATCAAATTGAGATTTTTTTTTTTGCCTGTCAAGTAAACAAAGAGCTGAGACAGTGCTGCGTGCATGCTCTCAGCTGTAGAGCTTTCCGCACAGCTCTGCTGTCCTGCCCCTCCATGCTGTCCATGGCGCACTGACACAACGAGAATGCTGAGTGGTCACCTAGCAGCCCCATCTCCAAACTACCCACGTTCAGATGAAGCTGCTCAGACTTACTAGTCACTTGTTGTGCTTGTGTTGGTTAGTGTAAGAAACGAAAAAACGAGATTCCCTTTCAAAGGAAAAGTCTGATTTATCGTGAATCAGGTAATTCTCTCTTTACTGATTTCCAACTGAAAAACTAGGAAGGGTGTAGGAAAAGGTGACAGCAACAATCTATTTCACAGACATGGCAACAAGTCCCACCTTAAAAGTAGCATCCCATTGGCTGATACTGATGATGGAACCGCCTAACTGGAATCCCAGCAGAGTGGGCAACACCTGATCCGCGTGTCTCCAGGAAAAGACACAGCTCTTCTCAAGCAGAGAACGTCAGAGCCAGGGGCAGCAAATGAGCTTTCCCAGCCTCAACAGAGGTGACCCAGCTCACAACACCAGGGAAGAAGAGGTCCAGCTAATAAACCTGGCAAGCCTGGTACAGGCAGACAGCCAAGAAACAAAGGCCATGAAGAAAAGCTTTCAGGCCATCATCGCTGTGGCACACAACCAGCCAAAGCCAGACCAGAGCAATAAGCCCGAAAACAACAGGACCCACTTGGAATGCTCCCACACAGAAGTCTGAGTGCTGGGTCACTGTGGGAGTGAGGACCGGAGGGCACAGCTCCAGCCAGGAAGGCCAGACACCTGGGCAAGTGGCCTTTATTCTGCAGTTAACATCATATCTTCTGAATCCACTCCTCCGGTGGGCTTCTCTGGTGTTAACTTTCAGAACAGGACCTCAGAGTAACGGAGCATTTCCACATCGCTGAGCTGTTTCTCATAAAAGTGATGAACACCACAATCAAGAAGGGGCTGAAGGAGAATACCGGAAGGACCTCCGTGGGGATGGGAGGACGAGGGTTGACATGGCCACATCACAGATCCAGCTGTTGGGATCACCTCCTGGTTCTCACAAACAGGCTCTACCCTAATAAGAGACAGGCACTCAGGCTTCACACACTTCCTTCAAAGTGTATCTTGCCTCCATTTCTTACTAAACTCAGTACCCCTCTCCCCAGCCGCCCAGACTCCCAGTCTCAATGTTCTGAGGCTCCCTGGGTTGTCGCCTTGAGCTGACCTCTGGCCCCCTGCTGGCCAGCATGTTTTTCTTGGCTTCCAGCACGGGAACAATTCCTCCTGGTTTGGCCCGACCGAGCCTTGCATGAACAGAGTCCAGTGTACTGTAAACAATGATGTGATATTTACAGACAAGTACACACACACACCCCCCACCTGCTCCGTAAGGCCTCACACTCACCCTCCCACCTCCCCATCTGCCTGGGGTCTCTGCAAGGTGTCAGGGAGCAAGGCTCATCAGACCTGCTCTCTGTAACCCACGGTTTCAGTTCAGTAGAAGCACTCAGCAGAGATTAACGCATGGTCCTGCTGTTTACCAGAGAGAAACAAGCTGTAGCAACTTTAATCAGCAACATACTCTCTGGAAGAGATTACTGAAATTCTTGAAATCATTACTGGGTGCATTTCCTGGTGAAAGATAGATGGGGCCAGAAAATGAGTCACCACTTAGGAAACACTTCACTTCAGGAGAGGGGCCTGAATCTCCAGGCTGGTGAGGGGCCACACTGCCCACACCTGGCACATAAGGAATGGCCACAGCTTCAATGGCCATGGTTTTCCTTTGGGAGAGGGCATGAGTGATTATATCAAAAAATACTAGCAAGACCACTTACAACCCCCTCAACCACCTTCTCAAGGTTTGGGTAAGATACAGTTAAGCAAAGGCAAAGGACTTATTTGAATGGCAGCCTACTTTTACAATCCAGCTTTAAATGGGAGGGGGGGGGACGGCATTGCGGTGCAGTGTGGTAAGCTGCAATTTATAATCCGAGAGGCCCACTTCTGATCCTGCTTCATGCTTAGTGTGGCTGGGAAACAGCACATGATAGCCCCAAGTACTCGGGTCCCTCCCATCCCCGTCAGAGACTCAGAGTTCCTGCTTCCTAGCTTTGGGCTGGCCCTCTCCTGGCTGTTGTGGCTACTTGGGGAGTGAACCAGCGTTTGAAGATTGGCCTCTCATTCTCATTATACCTTTCCAACCAATAAATAAACCTCTAAACAATGAACAAAAACCAGGTTTCTCCCATCTAAGTACTAACCAAAACAACTTGAGCAGGACCCTTGCAGCATGCCCCACATCAGGAACCTGGGATGGGTGGGAGGCTGGATGGGGCTTCTCTTTTCTTTCTTACCCCAGATACAGAAAATAATAATAATAATAATAATAATAATGTGCAAACAATGGTTTTACCCACTTTCCTGTAGCCCTTGACCTTTTGTGCCCTAATCAACTATGTAAAGATTATTGAAAAAAAAAAAAAAGTTTCTGGGCTATGCCCATGAAGACACAGAGTCTAAAGAACCTGATAGAAAACATCTGAGAAATCCATCCTGCTAATCAGGGGCCACCCTGGACACCATCCACTATTGTTGCAATAATAGCAGTGGAGAGAATATACCGACAGCACAGTCCTCAGGTTATACCCAGCTCCCAACGGTAGTCACAACTTCGAGGTGAGTTTTGGCCAAAGAGGCCAGCCAACTGAAAACGCCAAGAAGTGCTGGTGCTCTGGGTTCCACAGGTGCAAACATTAACTACCGTGTCCCAGGCCAATCGCGCAGAGTGAAGGGCTGGCCCGGGAGAAACCTGCTCTGCAGCACACTGAGTGTCTCTTTGGAGGTCTGAACAAAGAACAAAGTCTGGGAGTCAGCAAGAACCCAATCTCCCTCTCATTGCTGCGTGTTCCTTGAGCAAATCACATCAGCTCTCGAAGCCTCCATCTCCTCACAGGCAAACATGGGTCTGGATCCTGCCACAGGCACAGAACCTCACCCCACTCAACCCTCCCCGCTGTGCCTGGCATGGGGCAGGCTCTGAAGGGAGAAACCTCCCATCGTTCCTCACTCCAAGTATTTCTCCCAAAACTTGCTCTCTGTAGGAGGTTCCTGGGAGTCCTCTGGGAATCTGTTGTTTGCCTTTAATCTGTATCAAGCAGCTCTCCATCCCATTTTTATGAATGCAGACCAGAAGCCTCCACTGTGTGATGAGACTGCAAGGGGAGAGGCCTCTCACGCCACCCTGCAGGGCCCTGCCCCAGTTCAGAAGAAGCTGACCCCAGATGGAGTTCAACTTCTCCCTCCTCCACATCCTTTCTTCCTGCCTGTAGGCTACACCAACAGCATCTGGCCCTGAGGACAACTTCTCCTTGAGAAAGGAAGGGTGTTCTAAACAGGAAAGTGTTCCAGGGTAGAACATGGGGCTGGCATCGACCCAATCTGAAGTCACCTCTATAATTCAGCAAGTGCGAGGCTTCGCAGTGTTTCAGCAACAGATGCATTAGAAACGCCCTCGCTTCTGACTGTCTCCCACCTTTCCGGATTTACAGCCTTCTTCAGCGTTCCTCAAGCTGCTCAGTAACAGAAGATGAGCCAAGAACAAAATACCTCTGACAAGGAGTGGCATGTTAGATTTCCAAACTCACACTGCAATGTTTTCACTACCACTTTGTCACTGTGCCAGACAGGACATATACCCATTTTGTGGTATTATTATTATTATTGTTATTATTATTATTGGAAAGTCAGATTTGTAAAGAGAAGGAAAGACAGATCTTCTGCCTGTTGGCTCACTCCGCAA